CCCAGTTTTTAATTGGAGTGTTTGGTTTTGGGTGTTGAGTTTTATAAGTTCTTTAACTATTTTAGATAATAACCCTTTTTCAGGTATGTCATTTGCAAGTATCTTCTCCCATTCCGTAGGTTGTCTTTTGGTTTTGTTGATTGTTTCTTTTGCTGTGAAGAAGCTTTTTTTTTTTTTTTTTTGACAGAATCCCAATAGTTTAATTTTGCTTTTGTTTCCCTTGCCTCAGGAGACACATCTAGAAACACAGAAATTACTGCCTGTGCTCTCTTCTAGGGTTTTTATGGTTTCAGGTTTCACATTTAGGTCTTTAACCCATTTTGAATTTATTTTTGTGTATGGTGTAAGAAAGTGGTCCAATTTCACTCTTTTGCATGTAGCTGACCAGTTTTCCCAACACCATTTGTTGAAGAGACTGTCTTTTTTCCATGAGATGTTTTCTCCTGCTTGGTTGAAGATTAATTGACCATAGAGTTGTGGGTTCTTTTCTGGGTTTTCTATTCTGTTCTGTTGAGCTATGTGTCTATTTTTGTGCCAGTACCATGCTGTCTTGACTACAGCTTTGTAAGGAGCTTGAAGTCTGGAATTGTGATGCCTCCAGTTTTGCTTTTCTTTTTCGAGAATGCTTTGGCAATTCTTGGGGCGCCTGGGTGGCTCAATTGTTAAGCATCTGCCTTCGGCTCAGGTCATGATCCCAGGGTCCTGGGATCGAGCCCTGCATCAGTCTCCCTGCTCAGCGGGAAGCTTGCTTCTCCGTCTCCCACTCCCCCTGCTTGTGTTCCTCTCTCGCTGTGTCTCTCTCTGTCAAATAAATAAATAAAATCTTAAAAAAAAAAACAAAAAACACTTTGGTGATTCTTTTGTGGTTCCATACAAATTTTAGGCTGGTTTTTTCTAGTTCTGTGAAAAATGCTATTGGAATTTGATAGGGATTGCACTAAATGTGTAGATTGCTTGGGGTAGTATGGACATTTTTAAAAAAGATTTTATTTATTTGACACAGAGAGAGCACAAGCAGGGGAAGTGGCAGGCAGAGGGAGAGGGAGAAGCAGGCTCCCTGCTGAGCAGGGAGCCCGATGCGGGGCTCGATCCCAGGTCCCTGGGCATTATGACCTGAACTGAAGGCAGTTGCTTAACTGACTAGCCACCCAGGTGCCTCGGGTAGCATAGGCATTTTAACAAAATTTGTTCTTCCAATCCATGAGCATGGAATGTTTTTCCATGTCTTTGTGTCATCTTCAGTTTCTTTCATCAGTGTTTTGTAGTTTTAAGAGTACAGGTCTTTCATCTCTTTGGTTAGGTTTATTCCTAGATATTTTATTGGACTCAACAGATTCTTGTTTTACTCCCAACTACTATCATATGTCATTCCTCACATTGTCCCGCTTTTGGCCAGTGAGAGCTTTTATAAGCTGGTTTCTCTGTCCTTTTGTCATTTCCCCCGTAATTGTTTTGAGCACAGGTTTCAGGCTCACCTTATACTCTCCCTGCTCCAGCCCTGGAATCGAATCAGCCACTTCTCTAAGGAGCCCTAATTCTTTGTATTGGGGAATGCTATCTAACGACCAAGATCTGGACACTGACTCTTTGCTACTGGGTAGCCCTGCTTCTCAACCCTCTCAGCGGACAGGGCTAGGGAGTGTGTGCACATGCTTCCCACGTGTATGTGAGTGTAGGTGAGGTGTGCCTCCATTTCCGTATGTCTGTGTGTGTTCAACACATGAATTCATACGAACAACTCCATGTCCACTCCAGGAGAGGAGGGCTCATTTGAGCTCTTCAGTGTCTCTGTGTGTTGCTCCCTTCTCTGCACTGACAGCCCTATATTTATTCACTGTATATTTATGTGTCTTCTCAAACTGGAACATCTTTTCCCAATCTTTTTTTTTTTTTTTTTAAGGATTTATTTATTTGTCAGAGAGAGAGAGCACCAAGCAGGGGGAGCGGCAGGTGGAGGGAGAAACAGACTCCCCGCTGAGCAGGGAGCCTGATGCGGGGCTCGATCCCAGGACCCTGGGATCATGACCCAAGCGGAAGGCAGACACCTCACTGACGGAGCCACCAGGTGTCCCCATCTTTCCCAATCTTAAAAATCTGCCTATCCATCCTTTAACTAAACAAACAAAAAACCCAAGGAAGTATACTTTTAAAATCTGAGCCACTGAATTGTTGCAGGAAGCTCTTGGTAGGTGTTCTTGCTAAGAGTGTCTTGCGCATCAGGTCGTTTGTGACTTTGTGCCTAAATGAAGGGAAGCCTCTTCCTGTCACATGAGGAAGAATGGTTTCAGAGTTGAACACGGCACAGCTGACGCGTGTGGGGAGGGATACGGGTGGACGCGGTACCGCCTCATCTCCTATGGGCTTTGCTTTGTGGTTGAACATCACATCGATTCTAGAAGAGTGGGTTAGTGCAGGAGACTTGGGGCCTCTGGATCGGCCCCACTTCCTGTGCCCGAGTCCCTGTGGGCAAGGCAGTGAGGGCCACATGGCCACCTGCACACGTGGCAGGGTTTATCCAGGGGAAGACCCTCCAGATGGAGCTCACGCAGGGCCCTGCTCATTTCTCTTCAGTTGCCGCTGTTTGGAATTAGCATAACTGCATTAAAGCCAGCGTAAGTTCTGACACCAATAAATGAGTAGATGCAGACTTCTTCTGACACGGGTATTTCTGGGCCGGCATGGTTTTGATCTAGAGCTGTCCTCTGTAGAGTCAGATTCGGCGTTGGGCCATATCCTGGAAGGTGTACATCAGTGCAGTTACCAGAGGCAGCTCAGGGCTTGGCTCACACGGCTGAGACAGCCAGGGGAGGGACGTGTCTTTTTTCCTTAGTTTAGCTATTCTTTAAATGGAAGTTTTATAAAATATTTTCTTTTCCACTTTGAATAGTCTCGGACTTTCAGATGGCTGATGGAGGGAAACCTCCATTTCCACTGTGCAGCTCTGAGAAAATGAGCCCCTGGTCACCCAGAGCCAGGTCCTGCGTTGGCCCCATCACTTTCTGGGCGAGTCTCCTGGTCTGGCGTGCCTGCTCTGGAAGGCGGCGCTCGCACCCCTCTGCTGCATGTGTGTGGGGTTAGATAAAACGTGGAAGCAGCCCCCTGCACAGATGCACTGGCCCGAGGTCTCCATGGCCGAGAAAGTAAAGCTGAGAAATCAGGGAGTTACTTTTCTATCTGCCTGTTCTGCAGATGTTCACTGAGAGAGGGTGGCTTTCCATTGACTGACAGGTGATGCGGGGACTGGGGACTTGGATCCTCCCACAAAGTCTCTGCTCTTCTTCTGGTTCAGCAGTCACTGGCATTGCGAGCCAGTGGCTGCCCTGCTCTCTCCAGGCCGGGGTTGAATCAGGCGTAGCCCGGCCGCGGGAGTTTTCGTGCCAGCAGCCACGAAAGTGACAGTGACAGAGATTAGACGAGGTTGAGAGCACAGCCCGTTGATGTGGGCACCGGGGCAGGCAGAGCTGGGGTGAGCCGGGCGTCCAGACCATGCAGTCAATGGTGAACTCTGTACTTCGTGATCAGAGATGGTGCTGGTCGTCGGGGCCACAGCAGGACAGGGTCCTTGGCCCTTAAGGAACGCGTAGTGTGGAGGGAAACCACGAGGTACCGCAGCACTGAGCACGGGCTGGACGTGAGGCCCCAGGAGAGATGCGCACGCCAGGTGCGGGCGAGCCGCTGGGCAGACTCAGGGGACAGCCATGTGGATGATGAGGCATATTCGCTAGCTGGCCAGGCCCAGAGAAGGCCAGAGTGTTCCAGCAGAACTGGCAGGCTGGGGGAGCGCCAGGCTGCGGGAGGGAATAGCGTGGTGCCCTCTGACTGTTGGCACAGCCTCCAGTTGGGGAGGGCTGGCCGGGGTGCTGCCGCCCACGGACTTGACCTGCAGGGGGGTTTTCACCAGATTTATCTTTCTGAAAGGTGGACGGTGGAGGGGAGGAGGGTAAGACCAGAGCTTCACGTGAGCCCCTGCTGTGATCAAGGTTCGGGGCGGGGGGGAGTGCTGTTTGGAGTCACTGCCCTGGGGTGGAGGGGAAGGCAAGATGCTAGGAAGACGGCCAGCTTTTGGTCAAGGCAAAGACCACTGGGAGGTGCTCAGTGACCGGTTTGCGTCCATCTCAGGATTGGGGTTGCCAGGGGCAGAGAAGGCAACCTGAGTAATGAGTCCACATGAGTTCACTTCCTGGCCTTGGGCTGGCCACATCCTGTGCTTCTGTGCTGCCCACTCTGGTCATGCCCTTCCTCTCCCCAGCACACGGACACACCCCTGCGGGTCCCCATGGCCGTGGTCAGCTGCGGTGACATGGCTGACGTCCCCTCCTCCATCCGCCTCCTCCACTGGCGTCAGCGGCACCACTTGGTTCTATTCTTGTCCTGCCGACTGCCGCTCCCCATTCTGCACAGGGTGTCCCAGATTTCCCAGCCACCTGACTCTCGTGTGGTCCACCCCTTCTCTCTGGGGTGGCCTCACCCAGGCTGGAGACTCCACATACTGACTCAGTGTCCTGGAGCTGCTGGAACAAAGTCCCACAAACCGATGGACGAAACCTGCGACTCTGGTGGCCAGAACCTGAAATCAGCCTGGAATCTCTTTCAGCTCCTGGTGGCTCCAGGTGTTCTTGGCTTGTGGCAACATCACCCCAGTCTTGGCTTCTGTCTTCACGTGGCGTTCCCCTCTGTATGTCTCAGATCTTCCTCTCCCCACTCTTAGGGGACACCAGTCATTGGATTTAGGGCCTCCCCTAAATCCAGGATAATCTCATCTTAAGACCCTTCACATAATTACCTGCGTGAAGACCCTTTTTCTAGAGAAGGTTCCCTTTGCAAGGGCGAGGGGCTGGGATTTGGCGATCTCCTGGAGGACACCGTGCAGCCCTCTCCTCGAACCAGCCACACCCTGATGGTCACTGAGTTTTCATTTCTGGCACAGTCTCATTTGTTTGGAATTTGTGTGAGAAGCATCTCAAACCTAAAATGTCCCGACTCTTGCTTTCTCCTCCCAGGCCGCAGAACCTGCTCCTCTCCGTCTGCTCCATTTCAGGACATGCGGCTCTGCTCTGCTGGTTGCTCAGGTGGGAACCCCGCATGGCCCCTGCCTGTCCGTGGCTGCACACCTGTCCTTGTGCTCCTGTCACGGCCCCCTTCTGCTCAGACCCTCCCATGGTTCCCTGTGCCCCCAAGACAGGGGAACCGTGGCCCGTGAGAGTCTGTGGGACCCGGTCCTGTGCGTCCTGCTCCCTCACCAGTCTGCCCAGCCGCACCAGCTGTCTGTCTCACACACCACACGGTGGCTCCTTCTGGTCCTCCTGCCTCCGAGCGTCTCCCGCAGGCACTTTTACTGACCCTCCCCCAGTCTTCTCTGTCCCTGCCTGGTTGTCCTCATCGCCTCCTGACACCCGTGTGCAAGGTGACCCGTTGGTGCCTACCACCTCCCCGACACCCTGTGTGCGCGGCGACGGGTTGGTGCCTGTCTCCGCCCGAGCCCGTGCTCCCCCAGGGCACAGGATGGTACTTGAGGCATGAGCATTTGCTGAAGGAAGAGGGTAACCTCATTTGCCCCTTGGCTTTTCACAAGGGCATGTTAGCCCCCACCTCATGCTGGCTCCCCGGGCAGGTGGGAGGCCCTGGACTCCTGAGACAGCCTGGCCAGCTGTGTGGTCTTGGCCCTGTTACTCAGACTCCTCAGGGGGGAGCGGCCCCCCCGGGAGAACCTGCCTTCAGGGAGGGTGCGGGCACTGAGTGGGTTAAGATGCTGAAGCCAGGCTTCTCGCTCCTTCCCCGACTCGCTAGTCTTGGACAGGATTTCTCCCACTGAACACGGTCTCCCAAAGCATCACTTCCCCTGGTGACCTTTAGTGGTGCAGCCAGTGCCAAACAAGTGACCAGTTCCTGTGCCACATTGCAGGTGTTCATGGGGGGGGAGGCTCGGCGTAGCCCCCACTCGAATTAGTCTTATTTTGAAGCTTTGCCTTGTCATCAAGTAAATGAACCATTATTTCCATCTGCTCTTACATACAGATGTTAGGAGAGTGCCCTTTGTCATTCCTGTCTTCCATCCAGTCTCCCTGACCTCACAGTCGCCAGGTCTCTTCCCAGAAGGGCTGCCCCATCACACAGCTGGGGGAGCTGCTGGCTCCCACTCTGTCCCCACAGCCTGTCCTCAGTCTGTGCAGGGGCTGCCTGATGTGCCCCTTCTGTGTGGCCTGGTCCCCTGGCCCTTGCTGCCACAGGAGAGCAGAGTCTCGCTGACTCCGTAGCAGCCCCGGGCCCAGGACGGTGTCCTGCACGTGCAGACAGTTACTAGAGGGAATGCATCCGGGTGGGCAAAAACCGTGAGAACGAGTCCAGGCCCGGAGCACATGGAAGCTCGGGGCCGCCAAGTGAGCAGGATCAGGCTGAGGGGGTTGGCTCATAACGTAGTAAGAGTACTTCTTTCCTCTCCGTGTGAAAAGACGCATTTTAAAGAAGTATATGGATGTTGGGGAATAAAGGGACCAAGAATGCTCCGCAATTATTAACTGACGCTTTTCTGCTTTTGTTTCCCCAGACACCATTTGCTTTTGACTCAAGATGATGTGATGTTTTATTATAAAACTCATTAACCATGATGGCTACACAGACATTAAGCATAGACAGCTATCAAGATGGGCAACAAGTGAGCGCCTGAGCTTTATTCCACATTCTAAATACAGTCCATGGGTCGGGTACTGAAACACGACCGATGCTTTGTATATTTATACTTCAGTTTCGTGAGGTCGCAGGCTCAGTTGTAAGGATATGATGCATTGATCATGTGCTGGTGCTAGAAAGGCTCGCTATAGAGTTATTCAAATCATTTCTCCCAGCGATGCCAAGTTGCCGGTAATTGTGACTCCCCTAAGTCATAGTTTATTGGGAATTTCCCTTTTTGATGTCCGTGCTAGTGAGTGTTGTTGCTTTTAAAGAAAAGCTGGTCGTTGAGGAAAGCGGATGACTGGTTGCTGACCTGAGCGGGAACCACGGTGTTTCCCCTCCACAGGCGTGGGCGGCAGGGGCCTGTCCCATTAGTCGGGGCAGCATCATTGCTGTGCTGTCAGCTCCTGTTGCGTGGCTGTGCCCGGACAGCCTCTAGCCTGCCCTCCCACTGTCCGTGGACTTGGTGTTCCTTGCAGCTGCGGTGAAGGTCTGGGTGTTTCGGGTTCTGTGCCCTGAAGGAACTGGGGAGGCGGGGAGGGGGAGAAGCTCAGCCGAGGCCTGGGCAGCCTCTCTTGGGACACCTGAGGTCTTGGGATGCTCTTTGTGTTCAGAATGGGGTCCAGTCCCCCTCTGACTGTGGAGCCCTGGAGCTCGTTTTGTTGAAGACCTTCCAGTCTTTGCTTCCTGCTTCCTGTAGTCAGGAAGGCCCAGAGGCCGCTTTTCTCCCTACTCGAAGGGAGCTGGGTCGCGACAAGGCCAGGGGGACTGGCCCGAATGAGGTCACAGGCCTGCATCAGTGAGGTTGCAGGTGGCGCCTGGGACCTGAGGCTCCCTCCCTCTTCTGTTGTGTCTTTCCTTGGTGGCCAGTTCTGTGCATTCCTGCTTTGGTTCCTGTTGCACAGACTTTGTTTTTGTTGGCTTGTTGTTGTTGTTGGCTTTTTAAAAATGTTTAAGTGTCTTAGCTTCTTAGGGGAATTGAGGCATGGGGGTGCTCTCTGCACCTGGAAGACCTTGGATATTTCCAAGTGATTTTGTTTCTTAAAATGCAAAGCTAGTGTTGTCCCTCTCTCCACCTGCTGAGCCCTGCCTTGAGGACCCTGCATTGCCCTTGTCCTCACCTCTGCACCCCGCTTCTGGGCATCCCTGCCCTGTGGCCCTGGCCCTGGCTCTTCCCTTGGCTCTTGCCTCAAGGAGCAGCTTGGTCAGGGCCCTCTGGTCCTGCAGGTCTTTGCTGCCATCACTTCCTGTGAAGACTCCCCGGCCTGCCCTAGTCCCTCCCCGCTTGCCACCTGCCTCCTGTCTTTCCTCCCTCCACTGGTCCCCCTGATCCCCTGCTGGCAGATCCTGCCGGGAGTCTCCTCCTCCAGCAGGTCTGTGCCTGGAGGTGGCTGAGGTGGCCATGTCCCGCGCAGTGCCAGGCACAGGGAGGGAAGGAGCCTTGCTTTTCCCTTGACGTGGAAAACTCTTGGCGAACATTATTTTAAACATTTCCTATCCTACAGTATAGATATGCCCAATTTCCTTGGCCATTTCTCCGACATTTAGGTTTCTCTTTCTTCCACAGTCATTTTTTTTTTTTTTTTAACCCGAAATAGGTGCTTGGGTGGCTCAGTCATTAACTGTCTGCCTTTGGCTCAGGTCAGCATCCCAGGGTCCTGGGATCGAGCCCCGCATCGGGCTCCCTGCTCTGTGGGAGGCCTGCTTCTCCCTCTCCCACTCCCCCTGCTTGTGTTCCCTCTCTTGCTGTGTCTCTGTCAAATAAATAAAATCTTAAAAAAAATAAAAAATAAAAACCTGAAATAAATCTTTTAAGGCTTTTTTATAATACTGTCAGATTTCCTACCAGAAAGTTGTGTTTGATTGGGCTTTAGTTAGTTGCTTTAGTGTTTGTTTTTTTAAGAGAGAGAGAGAGAGAGAGAGAAACGCTCTCCCGGGCCCACTGCACCATCTAAAGGCAGCGGCACAGAGGCATCCCTGCCCATCTGGACCATCGAGAGGCAAGTGCGGCGCCAGGGTCTCCCCTGCGACACAGCCCCTGGGGCCTGCGATAGCCCTGGCTGTCAGGTGCCAGGTTCGTGGCAGCACTGGCTCTCCCCCACTGCGTGGGAATAAGCCCCTTCCCCGAGGGCCCCCACCGGGCTGCTTCCTTGAGGACGGAGTCCTGGCAGCGAGGGGTGTTCCTGAAGAAGCTGAGGGGGCTGGCGATCTGCTCTCAGATAATTACAAGGTTCCTGCAGCATTTTGGGATTTCTTTCTGTAAAACGAATTCTTTATGCTTAAGGATTTAAATACTTTTCACCTAAATTACAAACCAAATAGCTAGTTGAAAGCAATTTATAATATCTTTAAGGCTTCCTCTTATGTTTAATACTATTTCTTTAAACACAGCCAATCTTTGCCTTCTGAATACAGTGACTTTTCCTCAAAATTTGGATAGCTTATGTATTCCTGAAGTTTAAGAGTAGATAGGGGAGAATTTAGAATATAGGGTCTGGGTTGTTTTTGTGACAAGATAAGAGTTTGAACCACTCATGTGTACTTCTGTTGCTCAGCGTGAGCATCTAGAGCAGGCAGAGACAGTGGTAAGATTATTTATGTGCCACTTCCCTTCAGTGCTGTGTAGTAGCATGTTTTTGAAAATCATAAGCATTTCACGGATACCGGTCCTCACAGTTTTCAAGATGATTTGGAAATTTGACCTTTGTTTTAGCCGTTTTCAAAACGTATTAAATTCAGAGGAGTTTTGTTGGTAGTATTTTTTATGTATTACTGCCAGTGGTCCAACTATCTAGCAATTTACCACTCCTGTTGCATTTCTGTGTCTGTTTGAGAATACTTAGTAGTAGTTTATTTTGTGTTTAGTAACAGAATTCTCTCCTTTCACAGATGCAAGTAGTAACAGAGTTAAAAACGGAGCAAGATCCCAACTGCTCTGAACCTGATGTGGAAGGAGTGAGCCCCCCACCTGTGGGGTCCCAGACACCAATGGATGCGGACAAGCAGGCCATTTATAGGTAGCGATGAGATGTGATGCATGTGGGTTTTAACAGGAATGACAGGAATAGAGAACCTTGTTAAATGGAATGCTAGACCTATTAGCTAGGCAGAGTAGTAAGGTTTGATGTGATAACCACGGGGGTGAGAAGTTTGTCAAATTAAGATATTATTCCTAATACCTTAAAAAAAAGTTTGGGAATATAAATGGACATTTTAGTCAACCTTGCAAAAAGAAATCTTCAGGCCCAGGTAGTTTTACTGGAGAATCCAGTAAAGGAAGAGGGAATGCCTCCCAACACATCACTCTGATACTAAAGCCAGACAAAGACAATACAAAAAAAAAAAAAAGTGTGCACCAGTGTGCCTCATGAACTTAAACATAAAAATCATTAATAAAATATTAAATCCAGCGACATATAAAAAGAATAACACACACTGACCAAGTGGAGTTTATCCCAAGAACTCAAACTGATTCGTTAGTCAAAAGATCAACCAGTGAGACGCACAACATGATCATACCAAGTGACACAGAAAAGCATTTGACAAAAATCAACAGGTAATTATGATTAAAAACTGTCAGCAAAGTGGTAATGGAGGGAAACTTTCCTAACCTGATGAAGGGCAACATCAAAAAATCTGTAGTTCTCATCGTATTTAATGGCCAAAGACTGTTTTCCTCTAAGACTGGGCATAAGGCAGAGTACACTCTGACTCCTTTTGTTCAGCACTGTAATGGAAGTCCTAGCCAGTGCAGTTAAGGCAAGAAAAAGAAAGAAAAGGCATACCAGATTAGAAAGGAAGAAACACAACTGGCTCTGTGTACAAACAACATGATTGTCTATCTAGAAAATCCCAAAGACTCAACCAAAAAACTTCCAGAACTGGGTGAGTTTAATAAGGTCGCACATTACAAGGGCAACACACAGAAACCAATCCCATTTCTATATGAGTAATATACAGTTGGAAGCTGAAAATTAAAAGAGACAATACCATTTACAAGAGCTCCAAAAAATTTAGGTATAAATCTAACAAAACTCAGAAACTTTATGCTGAAAAATTATAAAATGCTAATGCAAGCAATCAAAGAAAACCTAAATAAATGGGGACACATACCATGCTCATGGATTGGAAGACTCAACTTAGTAAAGATGTCCTTTCTCCTAAAATCGACTTGTAGATTTAGTATAATTCCAATTAAAGCCTTAGGACAGTTTTGTACATATAGACACGTTAATTCTAGATTTTATATGGAAGGCAAAATAACTAGACCAGCTGAAACAGTGTTGAAAAAGAATAAAGTTGGACTTTTGAGACATACTATGGCATTACGGTGATGAGAATGTGGTGATGATGGTGAAGGGATAGGATCAGACTCACTTTTGTCCTGTACAAATACCTTATTTATTTGATCTTTGACAAAGGTGCAAACAATTCAGTGGAGTAGAGGTAGACTTTCCAAAAAATGGTGTTGGAAGAATTAGACATTCATATGCTGAAAGAAGATCCTTGACCTAATCTCATGTTTTATACAGTTTACTCAAGGGGCACCTGAGTGGCTCCGTCAGTTAAGCATCTGCCATCGGCTCTGGTCATGATCCTGGGGTCCTGGGATCGAGCCCCACGTCGGGCTCCCTGCTCAGTGGAGAGCCTGCTTTTCCCTCCCTCTTGTGCGTGCTCTCTCTCTCAAATAAATAAATAAAATCTTAAAAAAAAAAGGTTACTCAAAACAAAGTATAGATCTAAATGTAAATTTTAAAACTATAAAACTGGTCTCTCCATACCATGGAATATTATTTAGCCACAAAAAGGAACGAAGTAGTGATACGTGTTACAACATTGATGAGCCTGGAGAACACTGTGCTAAGTGAAAGAAGCGAGATGCCAAAGGCCACGTATTGTATAATTCCGTTTAGATGTCTAGAACTCTAGCAAATCTATAGAGACAGGAAGTCGGTAGTGATGGCCTGGGGCTGGGGTTTGCGAGAAGATGGGCAGTGACAGCTGATGGCTGCAGGGTTTCTATGGGGGATAACAAAGATGCTGTAAGATTGACCTTGGGGATGGTTGCACCGCTCTGTGAACAGAGTAGAACCATTGCATTGTACACTTTGAAGGGGATAAACTGTAGTATGTGAACGATACCTCAACAAAGCTGTTATATAAACGAATGCAGACGTACTTACTAAAATATTCTCATGCAAATGTAGGACATACATTTAAATTTTTTTTTTTTCCCCAGGCATCCACTGTTTCCATTATTAGCTTTGTTGTTTGAAAAATGTGAACAATCTACGCAGGGCTCAGAAGGCACAACTTCTGCCAGTTTTGATGTAGATATTGAAAATTTTGTAAGGAAGCAAGAGAAGGAAGGAAAACCCTTCTTTTGTGAAGATCCGGAAACTGACAATTTAGTAAGTACAAGAAATGTTTTGTTTTTTCCCCCAAATTTAAAATCTGTTCAATAAGTTTTAAACTTCTAATTAGAACTTCAGAATGTAGTTCTGCTAAAGGGGAGAATCCGATAGTTTATGAAATAACTTCTGTATGTGTGACCTGAATGTCCCCGTGTCTTCCAGCTTTCTGTAGTGACTTTTACTGTAGGGATCAAAGGAGCTCATCTGTGCCTGTGTCACAAGGGGACTGAGGGCTCAGTTCTCTCCTAAGTATCTGTGAAGTTCACTGGGGTTGGTGTGCTTATGTGCCGTGCCTGTCAGGCAGCATGCCTGTGCCCCAGTCCAGTTCTAGGCTTTTCCCTGATCACGGACACACACCCTTATGCTCTGTCTGGAGGCTGGCAGTAAGTGGTGGTGGGTGACAAGACTGTATGCAGACTTGAGGAGGCCCTTGAACACAGAGCAGGGCAGGCTTAACAGGGGGCTCCCACACTCCTCAACTGCTTCCCCTGGCCTTTCAACCTCGTGTGGGTGCCCTCCTCCCAGGTCCGGCGCCCCAAGGTCCAGGGTTCTCTGTGCTTGCTGAAGGAAATGCAGAATTTGTCAGAGTTAACATCACTGCTGCACCCCTCAGTGCTGGTGGAGCACTGTTAGCTTGTGTCAGGGGACACGCTCCTTCCCTGGGCTTCCTTTAGAGCCTGCTAACCCCCAGCCCAAAACCTTAGTCAGGGCCCTGATCAGCAGAAAAGTGTCTCAGGAAACTTTTTCCTGAATAAATGTCCCGGATCTTTGTTGGTTTTTAATTTCTCATTATACATTCAACCCTTAGTGCCTAACGGATTTTACCAGGGCGCTGTCTGACCGGGAGTCAGCCTCCTCATCTTTGAACTGGGACCAACAGTGCCCGCCCTTTTGGGGTGAGAATCAGAAGCTCTCTCTGCCTCTGAATCTCTGTCACACAGCCAGCAGTGCGTGGCTGCGGGGACAGCCAGAGGGGACCCACGTTCTCCTGACTGGTGTTCCAGCATAGGGCCTAGCAGAGCTTGGGGCGTGGTCACTCTTTATCGACTGCTTGGCTGGTTCATGCCACAAGTACATATGAATTACTGTCCCCAAGGTCACAGGGAAGGAGCTGAGCTTTGGGGTTGTGGATTCACAGGCAAGTGGTGCTTATTACAGACCATTGTCTACTGCTGTGGGGCAGGTTACTCTGAAATTTAGTGACTTAATAAAGTCACTGTAAAACTTTTAGAAAAATTTTTTTTTTTTTTTTTTTTTTTTTTTACTTTTAGAAAAATCTTAAAAGGGCTAACCTAGTGCTAGGGAAAGAGTTCTTAGGCTTGACACCAAAAGCACAATCCCTAAAAGGCAGAGTTGATAAGTGGAGTTTTATCAGAATGAAGAGCCTCCTATGAGGTGGGTATGGATTCCTCCCCATTTACAGAGGAAGACACAAGAGCAGAGGGAGGGTAAGTACCTTGCTCTTTGTTGGAGCTGGTCCGCGGTGGGGCCGGGGTGAGGCTGGGCTGTCTCCTGGTGCTGTGACTCACTGAGGGCGGCATGGGGACATCTGTGCCCCACACACCAGATGCAGCGAAATGCCAGAGGTCCGCGGTGCTGGAATGACTTGTCGTTTTGCATGATTTCTGATGTCATCCCCCTCCTGTCATTGGCAGTGCAGATGGTCAAGGCTCTATGGCGTTCAGGCGAATGACTGAGAATTACAACTTACCATGATGCTGCCGTTTTCTTGTCTGAAGATCTTCATTTTCTCTGCTTCTAGATGGTAAAAGCAATCCAGGTTTTGCGTATTCATCTTCTTGAGCTGGAAAAGGTTAACGAACTGTGCAAAGATTTCTGCAGTCGATACATTGCTTGTCTAAAAACGAAAATGAACAGTGAGACTCTCCTGAGCGGAGAACCTGGAAGCCCGTATTCCCCCGTGCAGTCCCAGGTATCTATGTCGGGTCCTGCTCTGCTGCTTGGTGATGGTAAGGTCTGCAGGGGTGACGGGTACTGACTCCTGAGACCAACAGCCCTGTCGGAGTGCCTGGGCTGACATAAAGGCCATCCTCAAGCCGGAAGGACAGTCCCTCTGGGCTTCACGCAGTAAGTGGGGTGAGGCCTCAATCTGCATGTGTGGACCCTGGATCCCAGCTTTCTGAAGGATGGAGTACCATTCATTGCTTTCCTTTTTCTTTAAAACAGGGTTTTTATTATTTCTTAGAATTGTGGTAAAATACACATATCATAAAATGTACTGTCTTAACCGTTCTTAAGTGTACAATTCAGTGGCATTAAGCATATTCACACTGTTGTGCTACCATCATCACCATCTATCTCTGGAACTTTCCATCTTCTCAGACTGAAACACTATCCCCGTGAAATACTAACTCCCCATTCTTCCCTCCCCAGCCTCTGGCTCCCACTATTCTACTTTCTATGAATTTGATCAGTCTAGGTACCTCACGTGAGGGCATCATACCGTATTTGTCCTTTTGTGCTTGGCTTACTTTGCGGACATAATGTCCTTGAGGCTCACCCATGTTGAAGCACTATTATACTTGAGCCACTCTGATGGTGATATTCCATTGTGGTCATAGTTCACACTTCCCTGATGGCTAATGGTGTTGACCATCTTTTCATGAGCTTATTTGCCGTCTGTAGATCCTCTTTGGTAGAAGGTCTGCTCACGTCCTTTGCCCATTTTCTGATTGGATTTTTTTTTAAACTGTTGACTTTTGAGAGTCTTTTTTTTTTTTTTTTTTTTAAGATTATTTATTTGACAGAGCGAGAGAGCACAAGCAGGGGGACAGTAGAGGGAGAAGCAGGCTCCCTGCCAAGTGGGGAGCCCGATGGAGGGCTCGATCCCAGGACCCTGGGATCATGACCGGAGCCGAAGGCAGATGCTCAATGACTGAGCCACCCGGGCGCCCCTAGATACTAGTCTTTTATGGGCTGTATGGTTTGTAAATATTTTCTCCCAAGTCTGTAGCTTATCTTTTCATCCTCTTAACAGGGTCTTTTGCATAGCAAACATTTTAAATTTTGATCAAGTCCCATTTATCAACTTTTCTTTGATGAGTTGTGCTTTTGGGTGTTAAGTCTAAGAACTCTGCCCAGCCCTAGGTCCCAAGGATTTTCTCTAGTTTTTTGTTTTGTTTTGTTTTCCTGAAAGTTTTATATTTCACATTTAAATCCATGACCCATTTTGAGTTAACTTTTGTATAAAGTGTGAGGGTTTAGGGTGAGGTTCTTTGTTTTGCCTCTGGACATCCTGTGCTCCAGCACCATTTGTTCAGATTCCTCCCCTGAACTGTCAACGGTCAGTGTATTTGTTGGTCTGTTTCTGTGTTCTCCGTTCTGTTCCCCCGATCTCTGCCTTTACACCAGCTAATCTTGTTACTGTAGCTATTGAATAAGTCTCAAATTTGGGTAGACTGTTTCCTCCCACTTTATTCTTCTTTTTCAAAGTTATTTTAGTTATTCTAGTTCCTTTCCATATAAGTTTTGGAATAATCTTGTCTATATCAACAAAAAAATGTTACTGAGATTTTGATAGGAATTACATTAAGCCTGTGTATTGTTCTGAGGAGAATTGATATCTTTCCTCTGTTGACTATTCCAGTCCACAGACCGGGTATGTGTCTCTGTCATTTCTTTCATTGGTATTTTGTAGTTTTGTGCTATAAGTCCTACATATGTGTTTTTAGAATTACACCTAGGTGTGTGTTTGTTTGTTTCTCTTTTTTTTTTGGCAATTACAAATGGTATTATATTTTTAACTTTAGTGTCCCTGCTAGTGTTTAGAGATACAGTTGATTTTCTATGTTTATCTTTCATCCTGCAACCTTGCTGAACTCATTTATTAGTTCTAGGATGTCCTTTTCACAGATTCCTCAGGATGTTCTCCTTATTCAGTTATGTCATCTACAGATAGGAACAGTTCTGTTCCTTCCTTCCTGATCTGTTTGCTTTTTATTTCCTTGTCTTACCTTACTGTGTTGGCTAGGACATCTGGTACTATCTTGAATACGATTGGTGAGAGTGGACATCCTGTCTTGTTCCCAATCTTAGGGGAAAGCATTCTGCCTTTCACTATTAGTTATAGTTTTAGTGGCAGGTTTTCTCTAGATGCTCTTCATCAAGTTGAGGAAGTTCCCCTCTATTCCTGTTTCTCTAAGAGTTTCTATCATACTGAATTTGTCAAATGCTTTCCCTGGGTGAATTGATACGATTATGTGATTCTTCTTCTTTCTTCTGTTAACATGGTAGTAGATTACATTACTTGATTTTTCGAATACTGAATAAGCCTTGCATTCCTGGAATAAACTCCACATGGTCATGGCACATAATTCTTTTTATATGGGTTCCTGAATTCTGTTTGCTAATATGTTGTTAAGCGTTTGTATGTCTGTATTGGGGGATATTGGTCTGTAGTTTCTTTTTTGTTACAGTCTTTGTCTAGGTTTGGTACCAGGATAGTACAGCTTTGTAAAATGAAGACTCCTTTCCTGTTTTCTGGAGGTGATTATATAGATTTGGTGTTAATTCTTTACATGTTTGATAGAATTCTCCAGTGACACTAGCTGGAGCTGGAGATTTCTTTTTTGAGTGTTCAAGTTATGAATTCGGTGTCCTTCATGGTTGTAGGGCTGTTCAGATGACCTGTTTCACGCTAGCTTCAGAGGCCCGCGTGCCGAGTGGACTGCAGCACTCCTCCTCTCCTGCTGACGTGTGTAGGGTCTGCAGTGCTCTCGGTTTCCTTCCTGATGTTGGTAATTTGTCACGTCTCTTTGTTGTAGAGGTTTGTCAATGTATTGATCTTTGCAAAGAACCAGCTCTTTTTTCATTGATCTCTGTTTTTCTGTTTTCAGTTTCATTGATTTCTGCTTTGATCTTTATTATTTCCTCCCTTCTGCTTGCTTTGGTTTCCTTTTGTTCCTCTTTTTTAGGTTCTTGATGGTGGGAGCTTGGATTATTGATTTGGTTGAATTAATATTCTAACCAAGTTAATGTCGCAGACTTTGTATGTACCTACCAGAGCTTTATACATACATTCAGATTGATGTGGCAGCCTGCAAAGTAATCGTCTTTGGGCAGTACCCACTGATGCTGTTGAACTGCTCAAGTGCCTGGGTGTCTGCTGGGCGCCAGACCCTGTGCCTGGACGCCAGCGTGGAGCTCTCCTCCTGGCCGGCCACCAACCCAGCCATCTTGGTGAATGGACGGGTGGAATCTTGATGTGGTGTTTATGGTCATTTCTGCGGAACCTGCTGCAGGCCAGGCCCAGATCTAGCACTCCACAATCATGAACACCAGGGGGCTCGCCTCTTTTATGATGATTAATATGATGACAAGAGGAAAGATAATCTTTTGGAAGCCAGATTGAAACCAGTATCTCAATACTGATGATCATAGTTGATACTGGGTCAGTCTTGGATCTCTTGGTTTGCAGATATGTAAGGTGGGTTTTCTGTTTTCCCATAGCCCCTCACTTGTATTTCTGACTTACAGCAGATTCCAAGTGCCATCTCAGGCACTCTCAGCCCCCAAGGAATCGTGGTTCCAGCATCTGCGCTGCAACAGGGGAACGTAACCATGGCAACAGTGGCAGGTAAGCCCAACGGAAAAAGGATGCTCTTTCCTTGAGCTTTTGTGGAGAAGTCCTTTATATTAGAACAGAGAAGTGCCTAAATATAATTTCTAATTAATGCCAGTTCCTGAAATAGGAGTGGCAAAATCTAGAGCATTCAGAATTGAATGCCTGTTTCTTGTTTTAATTCCCAGTAACAAATAGTTGACGCAAATTGTGTTTCCCTGCCAAAAAATTTTGGGGAGAAAGGTTTTATATAGGAGTTGACAACATATAGCAAAAACCAATCGTAATTTGTAGATAACATAGTTGTCAATTGCACTCTTGGCAGCACCTGGAAAAGCTTAGGTTGTGTCATTAATGTTTGACAAACAAATAAAAATTCATTCTTAGTATTACTTGTATAGTAAAAACCATCATGGGAGGGGTACTGATTCTGTGGTACCCTGGTGCATCTCAAACATCACAAATATAAAGTTGTCATGAAAATGGAATGGGGCATGTGAGGAGGAGAGAAATTTACAACAAAAACCTTCATGTGATAGTGTCAGGGGAAACCTCCACAGGAAGATGAAAGCATGTTTGATCAAAATATACTATGATAAAAAATAGTTCACACCAATTGCCAGTTCCTTTAATACTGCTAATTATGGGGAAAGTAGGAAACAGAGGTGGACAAAAAAGGGAATTTGCAGAATCCAGATAAGCCCTTGTGCCCTGTGTGGTGGGACACCTTACCACCCGCTTTGCTCTGTGCCCCCTGACCGTGCCCGCCCCCCTGACACACTGCCCTGCCCCCCCCCACACTGCCCTGTCCCCTCCACTGCCTTGCCCCTCACTCTGCACACTGCCCTGCTCTGTTGCACTGTGCCCACCCCCTGCACACTGCCGTACCTCCTGCACAGTGGCCCACACACCCCTTACAGTACCATGCCCCCCCCCGCCGACTGCCTCCCCCCCGCACAGAGCCAGACCTCACTATAGATGCTGGAACACTACTTGTCCAGGGAAGTTGTTTAATAATTTATAGTGACAAGTCAGCCAGCAAAGTATTGATCATTTGAAACAATTTAAAAACCACATCAGACTAAAGATTTTATTCCTTTCATACGTATATTGAGTATATTGAGAATACGGTTTTAAATCATTGTGACTTAAAGAGTATTTTAATTTTTTCCTTCTTGAGGTGGCACAGTGTATCAACCTGTCACAGTTGTCACTCCTCAAGGCCAAGTAGTGACACAAGCGTTGTCACCTGGCACAATCAGGATCCAGAACTCCCAGGTGCGTGTGCCATTCCCGTGGGAGGGTCTGGGGGTGCGTCGCGCAGGCGTGGGGCACAGTAGGCCCAGGCTGGATCTGTTCCCTCTGCCTGAAGATCATTTGTCTCGAGCTGGCTTCCCGGTAGCAGTTTCCAGTTAATCTCAGTGTCCATGTTTTGTCTCTTGTTTACTCTTTGTCTCCCTCGGTGTAAAAAAGTTGCAAAGTTCAGAAAGTCTAAGGCAGCAGGAAAAAAGTCATCCATGACCCCTTCCCCTCAGCAACCACTGTCGTCCAGTTGAATACTGGATTGTGTGGTTGTCTCTGGATCAGGAGACTCGAGGCAGTGTGGACACGCTCTTCCCGCCGCCATGCAGGTTGACAGCAGACCCAGCAGGCAGGTCTTGCAGCCCATGGTGAGGCCCTTCTGTGCCCCCGCTGGGCCAGAGAGCCACTCCGGGCTGGTCCTCAGGCTGGCCGGGGCCCTTCCTTAACATCCTCCCACAGCCTGGTGCGAAAGCTGAGCAAGAGCTGCCCCTTCCCCACTCCCAGTTGCCCAGTGGAGGCCCTGCCCCAAGGAGGCTGGTGTGCCCCTCCTGCCCTCGGCCTCTCGCCTCCCCCAGGCACCCCAGCTCTGAGAGCGCAGGAGGCCGCTTCGCGGGCAGGAGCAGCACGTGGATGTGCTGTTCTGTGCTGTGCTGCGGTCACACTGCTCTCTCTCTGCCTATGTGGTGAGACGGGGTCGACTCAGTGGTCGGCCAGGCCGCTGTTGATCACGGAGAAGCACGCACGCACACACATGCACACACACACCCTTGTTTTCCACTGCCAGGCCACTGTTGATTACGGAGACGCATGCACATACACACTTACCCTTGTTTTCCACATTGAGCTAGGTTTAAGTCAGAAAGATAATGTTTCTGTTGTCAGCTCGTAGTTAGGAATACAGATTCTTTATGTTAGTTGTCTTTAGCCCGCACAGGTGTTTCCCACAACCTCACGGACGGCTTGGAAGCCCAGCCCCGGAGATGTTGTGTCTCCCTCAAGCAAACAGCAGAGGCGAGAGGGTGTGGGGGGCGGGGCACGGGCTGGCATCGCCAATCCAGGACTTACTGCCTCTCACTGCATGGACAGAGTCGAGCTGGGGCGGGGGGCCTTGTCATCTGGGCACATGGGGTCTCACCAGGCCCAGCAATGGGTGGAGGAGGGACTGGACTCCACCAGCATTGTCCCTAGATTCTCCAGCCAGCCTGCTTTCCCTGGAGCTTCCTATTTACCACGGCTGTGAGCATGAGGTGGTGTCTGGTTGGCAGAGCTCTTCCTGGTACCACATGGAACTGCTTTTAGAGTGAGGTGCCTTCCTTATGTAGTAGAGGTTTATTTGCCCTGTTGCTTAAGAAGAAAGTTTTCCGGGGCTCCTGGTGGCTCAGTCGGTTAAGTGTCTGACTCTTGATTTCGGCTCAGGTCACGCATGGTCTCAGGGTCGTGAGATTGAGCCCTGCACTGGGCTCTGTGCTCAGCTGGGAGTCTGCTTGGGATTCTCTCTCCTTCTCCCTCTGCCTGTCCCTGCTGCATGCTCACTCTCTCTCCCCACCCTTTTGCTCTCAAATAAATAAATCAATCTTTAAGGGAAAAAAGAAAGTTTTCTTCTTCACTGCATTTTCTTATAGACGGAAAGGACTAGTTTAACTAGCAAACACATGGAGTTTGTATTTCAGCATAACCCCTTCTGACACAGAACATGCCTGTGACCCTCCCCAGCTTTGTCAGGCAGACAGGTGAACACAGCTCCCTCCTTGCAGCCTGTGGGCTGTCTCTGCTCCGGTGCAAAGTCCACTGTGCGCCTGTCCCCTCCCCGTCATTCTCCTGCCGAGTCCGGCTTCTAGGGCAGCAGGGCCAGGAAGCCAAAGACACGAGCTGCCCCGGGTTTCCAACAGAAGAGTAAACATTTTGAGGGCTCTGGGTGCAGGTGTTCTTTGAATAAAACCTTTACGTGGTACGTGTGATTTTAATTGTAGCTGTTTGGGCTGCTCTGGGCTCTTTTCTGCCCTTTTTCTTTTTCTTGGGGGGGTGGGGATTGGTTCTTACTGGGCTTCAGGTAATTGGGGAGAGTAACTTCACCAGTGACATTGTCTATTTTTGTGTCAGAAACTGTCAGGGTTGGTTTGATCGAGAAAACTGCTTGCTGTCCTGGCTCCTGTGGGCACTCTGGCCAACGTCATTCACGGCAGCACTGTGGTGGCGGTCACTTCCATGCTGTCCCCCACCTGCCCGTCCTGCCCCGTTGTGGGTGCAGCTGAGGCGGATGGTAACATTGCCACTCTCCCCCAGAAGAGAATCGGCCCCCGTGGGCCACATTCTGACCTACGGCCCGTCAGGAGGAGGCAGGATTTGGCCTCTTCCTAGGGCATCTCTATGGAAAGGTGTTTCTACTTCTAAAAACATATTTTCGAGGAGAGAGAAGTAGCCAGCGGGATTTCACGGATCTCCTCCCACTCTAGCTCCTCCCCCTTTCCCGGGAGAGTCTTATTTGTTTAGTTGTTATTTATATATTTTAGGTTTTTGTTATTACTTGGCCTGTGACAAGGTTTTTTGCCTCTGTTTTACTCTTATTTTGCTTTTTTATATCAGGTGGTTGTGTGTCCCGCTCAGTGTGCAGGCTGCTGAGAGGCTTGGAGCCAAGCACCGCTTTTCCCACCCTGTTCCCTCCTCTCCCCTTGGGCAGCTGCTTTTTGATCCTGCTGATTTCCTCTCATTTCTCACTAAAAATCCTCCCTCTTAACTCACCTCTGAAGCTCCTGGTTTGGGCTCTCCGTCATGGTTGGGGCCTGTGCTCTGTCCGTGCCCCCCCTCGGCGGTGGCGCTTCCCCGCCCTGCCCGTGCTTCTCCACACAGCTCGGCCAAACCTGTTGTCAGTATGAACATCACCTGGTCTCTGCGGAGCTGAGTGTGTACCTGTGATCCCAGGGCTTCTCTGGTTCAGATGTGTCTGGCCGAGCTCGCAAGTGCTTCACTGTTGCCCCGGGCTCGGCTGTCCCGGTGCCACGGCCAGCACCTACCTGCCAGAAGGCACATCGGGACCGCGGGCCCCCAGAAGCTCTCCGCCTCCCTTCTCCGGGGCTCTTCTCTATCCAGGCTGGGCACAGGGTGTGTTCTCAAACTTTCCTTTGACATCGCCTTGAGGAGTCCCTTCTCCTAGAGCCTACATCCTCTACTTTCTTGGCTTTACTCCCCACTTTGGAAACTTCCAGAGAAAATGTGCATGGGAAGTACATTCTGTTGAGACATTGCAAACCTGAAGATGACTTTATTTTGGTCTCGTACTTGACGCAGGCTGTTTCCCAGGACAGTTTCCGGAAGAAATCGTCAGCAGGGCCCGGGAGCGTGGCGTCGGGGGCTCTAGCCCCCTTGGGAGGAGGTCAGCGCTCGCTGCTTTCCGGGCTGCTGTTTTCTCCTCTTAGCCACGTCTCTTCTCCGAGCTGTTGCTGAGCCCTGGGAAAACCTCATGTCCTGGAGTCTGAGACCTCTCCTTGACGTCTCTGAGATAGCCCTGCCCCCACCCCAAGCACATTAGACCTTCTGAACTGAATCTCTGCATTTTTGTGTCATTTTGTATTTGTATTCTCATTGTCTGGTTTCTGAGAGATCTTTTATCTTCCAACCCATCCATGCAGGTTGACCTCTTCAGCACAGTTTGGATTT